TGCCGGACCCGCCCACACCCCAGCCTTGGGAGGGGTCCCTGCCAGCCCAGACCCGACCTCCCATTGGCAAGGGGGCCTGATAAACACACAGAGGGGGACCCACGTGCCCAGTGGCCTCTCCTTGTTACTGTTCCCACTGCCCACTGCCGCCAGAGTCCCCCGAGCTGCCCCCGCCCCCACTGCCCCGGCAGCTATGTCACTGGGGCTGGGCCCTTGCTGCGTCTTCTCGGGCTAGATGTGGACGGGGTAGGGTCTCCCTGACGCAGGCCCGTGCCATGAGCCGCTCCTCTGTGGGTGACACGAGGACCCTCGCCTGCAGGCCCCACCCACAGGCAGCAGGGCTCCTCCCCAGCTGCCTTTCATGGGCTAGGCCTGGAGGAAAACCTCCAAAGTGAGACAGGCCCACAGCAGAAGACCCCTGGGGAGCCAAGCAGGGACAAAGGCAACTCTAAAGCCAAGCAGGGCACACAAGGAGGCCAGGGCTGAGACACAAGACCAGGGCGCCCGGAGGCAGGACCTAGCAGAAGGAAAGGAAGATACAGACCAAGGCGCGAAGACAGAGAGAAGGCACAGAGCCACAGGAAGGCGGCCGTGAGAAGCCACCCAGGGAGGCCGCCGAAGGGAGACCAGGCACAGGACAGTGACACCCACGGAGCAGGCATCCCCACGAGGTTCCCCGACAGCTCCCTGCCCACAGGGCCTCACACAGACCTGCTGTCCTCAACTGGGGGGATCTGGGTGCCCAGCACCGTCGTCTGCGGCTGGCAGGTCACGGGGACTGGCCTCACTGGGAAGCATCCTTCCCCGAGCCCCTGGCACCCTGGCTCTCAAAGAGACTTCCAAGCATGACCCGCCCTTTCCGGACCCAGCTGGCTGTGCTCCAGCTGGGGATGCCCAGGCAGGGGCAGGAGATGGCCCAGCAGGGTGGGGATTGCCGGCCCGGAAGGTACATAACAGGGGCCCATGTGGATTGGTGCCGGGTATCTTGTGGGGCCAGGCTGGGCCTGCCAAGGAAGCAGGACAGCCTCTCAGGAGAGGGGCTTTGCAGGCACGGGGACCCGCAGACGAGCACCTAGACTCGTGCTACCTCCTGGGGCGTTTCACAGCTGCCCAAACTCCCTGAAGTTAGGGAGTGAGCAGGCCATACAGAGGAGCCTGGACACGGCCAGGACAAGGCCCACGTGTGGCCCAGGGATGGCCAACAGAGACTAGTGAGTTGGGAGGGAGGGAAACTCAGGATGTGAAGCAACAGCCACTGCAGACTGGGGCCCCCTGAGGTCCCTTTGGCGGGCACAGAACACTAGCCTGGCTGGCAGAGGCCGGGAGACCACACGCCGGGCCTGAGGGGGCTGGCCTCCTGCCCCACCACGGGGTCCTGGCTCTGTCTGAGGCCGAGCAGATGGTGAGGCGGCCGATCCCCCACTGCCCTGGAAGAGGCGGAGGACACCTGCCACAAAGGGCCAGGTCTCCGTGCCGGAGCGGCCAAGACAGGGAGGGCACGTAATCCTGGAGCAGGCTGCAGGGGCTTCCGTCAGCGCCAAAGCTGGAGAGAGCCTGAGTGACCGTGGGGCTCACCGGCGGCCTACACCTGGCCCGATGTCACCTGCATGGGGAGCAGGGCCTGCCGCAGCAGGTTTCGCGGGGGAGCGGGGGAGTGGGGGGGGGG